TTTTCCATGCTCCTTCATATAATATTCAACAGCTTCCCAGGAATCAAATCGTGAACCAATGGACAACTCAGTTGTATCATCTAATTTCAAATAAAAAGCTAGAAAATATAAGCCTAATAAAATGAAACCAACAGACCAACAACGCAATAAAGGTTCAAAGAAAACCGATTGCCAATGGCATGTTATTTTAAACAAACCTGAAGATAAAGATGGCATATATGTGACTTTTGTAAACCTTGACTATAATCATGAATTAATCGCTAATAATTCGAAGTTTGCTACAGCATTCCGAAAATTTGATCAAGCTGTAATGTCAGAAATTGAACGTGCTGTAGTTTATGGACGTTGTGATGCATACACCATAAGAAACTTAATACAACTATTATTTCCTGACCAACTGTTTCTTACCCAAGATCTCTCGAATGCTATACAAAAAATAAAACGTGAAAGAAATATTGCTAGCTCAGATGCTTCTAAACTATTAAAGTACCTTCTCAAAAAACAAAAAAAAGAGCCTATGATGTTTATACAACCTCTTATTAATATGGATAGTGATAGATTATGCGGTATATTTTGGATGACAGAAGACCAAATTATGTTGTGGACTCGCTACTCAGATGTCATCTTACATGATAACACCTCAAGAACTAACAAATATAATTATCCTTTATCATTGTTCATACTTGTTGATAATGATGGAAAGTCACGGTTAGGAGCACAAGCCTTTATAAATGATGAAACACAAGGCAGTTATGAGTGGATTTTACAACAGACATTAGATGCAACCGGCCTTGAGCCACAAGTTATTTTAACAGACATGGATCCTACTATGGATGCAGCTTGTCAAAATATATATGTAAATGCCTATCATATACATTGTATTTGGCATTTATCTCAAAACCTACCCAAACGATTTAAAAATAAACTTGGTTCTGTTGATTATAAAGCATTTATTGATGACTTTTGGACAACACGCAATTCATTATGTATTAATGTTTTTGAACAAAGGTTTCAAACTTTATTAGATAAATATCCTAATGCTAATGAATATTTGCATGATCCAATTTATACAACACGCTATTCATAGGCGCGTGCTTTTACAAGCTGAATATTTACAGTTGGTATGCAGTCAACACAACGTGTTGAATCAATAAATGCACTTATCCACAAAGCCGTTTCTGCTAGTTCTTCTATGGCTAATGTAGTTGAAGTGTTAGACTCCCGAATGCAACAAGAAGCTATAAATAAGAGTTTTATGGCATGGAAATACAAATCAATAACACATCAACAACCATTCATTGTAGAAAACTTTTTTAATAACATAAATAACATAATTAAAAAATATTTTTCACCACGAATTATTGAAGCAATTCATACACAAATGTGTGAATCTGTACTATATAAATGCGAAAAAGTACCTAATGAAGAAGCTTTTGAATTTATTGAAGATCAATTAGTAAGTTAATCATGATTTCCTTTATCTATTATGAATTCAAATTACTTTTTATATTAAAATTAAGGTTAGGGTTAGTTTAGAGTTAGGGTTAGATTAGTTTTAGAGTTAGGATTAGGGTTAGGGTTAGGGTTAGGGTTAGTTTATTGTTTAGTTTAGTATTTAGTGTTAGGATTTATAATTAGTATAGTTAAATTTAATCGTTAGAGATATATTAACTAGTGTGTATTATATGAATTTTAGGATGAGGTACTATTTGCAGATAATCAAGATAATGAAGGTATTACAAAGATTGAAGACCATTATGACTATCAGCAGGCATATTTAAAGACATTAATGAATTCGGTTTCAAAAGAATTAATTTGTGAAGTGTGGAGAATTGTTCCTTATATGACAACAAGTTCATATCAGCATATTGTTCTTCTTAAGGATGGAACGCATTTATGTACATGCTTATTGTTAGTTTTACATGGAATTATTTGTCGACATTACTTTAAACTAATGGTAGAAAATTCAAATGCATTGTTTCACATAAAGATGATGCCAACACGATGGTTTCGGGATGATGTTTGGAATAAAGTTGATTTGGCTTCTAGTGAACCTTTTGTTGGAGCATCATCTAAAGGTTTTAAAAAATCCCAAACTGGTATTTTACAGAATACTTATCCTATTCCTAAACACTATAACAATGTTCAAGAAAGTCAGGTTCATCAACACACACATTCAAAAATGTATTATGGTCAGCTTATGGGACAGTTCAAAAAAGCGTTAAACTATTCACTAGAAGATAATGATCAAAAAACGTTGAATGATCTTATTTTGTCTTATATTTCAGAAAAAGAAGCAAAGCGGAAAATAGATATGCAATCAAGACAAGAAATCTTAAAAGAAAATACGGATTTAAATTATGAGATTGAATTGTCTAATAGTCATGTATATAATGCAGATAATGTAAAAGATCTAGTAAAACATCGAGGTAAAGGTAGACCTCCAAACAAACGAATAAAAGCTTATAATGAAAAAAATAGAGTAGGTAATCAAAAAGAGAATAAGCATGAAAGTAATAATAATATAGCCGATAATGATAATTCTAGTGGTCGTAAGTGTGATTTATGTCATAACATTGGTCATTATGCCCCAAAATGCCCTACTAAAAATAGTGAATGTTAGAATTTTATATGCATATTTATAGTTATGATAACGATATTGTAATATTTTTTTCTTAGAAACCAAAAGCTAATTAATATAAAAGTTTATATTATTTATATTGTTATTCTATTTATTTAATAAACTTAATTACATTATACATGTGCGATATATAACATGTATCGCACTGTGCGATATATAAATTTACTCCAACATGAATACTATTGTTATGAGCGGTTCTTTATTAATCTGCAAATTTTTAGGTAGCAGAAGGTTTTTCACAATTATTATTCAAGGCACCAGTTTATTTATCAGTAAACAAACAAAACCAAAATCAATAAAATCAAAAATAAAAGAAAAG